CCCCAGGACAAACAGAAAATGACATTCGCATCTGGTCTCCACCCTCCAACAAATTTTAGCAGTAACTCCCAAATTACAAAGAATAAATTGAAATTCTATCGCCACCACCATTACTACCGTCGTGCCACAAAACCAAAATGCATACACTTGACAGCGATATTGCACACACCTGGACGGTGATGAACTGCTGCGGTCCACCGGAGGGAAAGACAGTGAAGCAATTGCGGGACAATGACAGACCCGTGAGGTTCTTCAGGCTCGCCAGAAGGCCCTCCTACAGGAAGACGAAGAGACATAGTTGAAAAAGACAAATAACCGCAGAGTAGGAGCCAAGAAGCCCCGTGCTATGAGCATGGTGGCAACTCACTTGGTCCCAACCCCGACACACCATAAGTCACAACAATTGACACCCATACCTTCTGACACAAGTAGGAGACTACTGTCAGAAGAAAATGGGTACACTCCTCATTCAGTCGCTAATTCATCAACCTTGAGGACTGCCCCAAGTATCGTAATCCCTCTCTTAATCCACCAAATTTGGCCATTAAGTGTCCGCATTGCCAATAACAAACTCAACAGCCCACTTCTCATCGCACAACCGTCCTACTATACCACCTTTGAGCAACTTCCAACTCAACAAAACGTATGCAGTACTCGGCAATAAGTTGAAACACGTGCTCGAGCACGTGTTACAAGAACAAGCTGATTGGCCCGTCGACTCTCCAATCACTCCTTCGACTCCACCTCCGATGCAACTGCAATGCCGGTTCGTCTGCAACACCTGGGCCACCAGTCTATAGGTCATTCCAAACACCCCTTCCATTCCTACGCACCCACACTCCAACACTCCGATGTACTACACGCAGCCCTCATCCTCTGCTCAATGCCATTCAACTTCCCTCTAGTACCTCAAATTCAACCGAAACAAAATATACAATCCAACCACAATGAGAGGATGTCCATTGTCAGCGGCCAAGTCAGAAATACACAGAAGGAGAGCCAATGAAAGCACAGTGGACAGTCCAACAAACACCTTGAATCCCTCACTCAACCTCATCGTCTGCAATCAGGTAAGATAGTTGGCTAACGCCTTCCACAATGCTCGCAATACAGGCGAGCAATCCTCCACCAAATTCCACAGCACAACTCACCCTCCGCTTGTCATACTGAACATCCGCCCACTACACATACATTCAGACAGGGATGATAATACACACTGCCACTCATCTAATCTTCAACTTTACACCAAATTACGTTGATGCCCCTAATGACACCC